AACTTTCTGCTGCCTGGTCAGCCTGTCTGCGGGCCTCTGGGCAATCAGCCCTCTTATTACTGGACCCTAGACTGGTCCCCACAGCCACCTCCTAACTGGGTTCTTGCCGATGTTACCACTGCAATTATGGGCAATCTGGGAACTAATCTGCCTTGGTCTGGGGGCTGGTCTTGCCGAAGGGGTCGGGGTGGGAGGGGGCGTTTCCCAAGGTTTCCACAGTGAGCTGGAAGTACAATGTAAAAGACAAAACACTTTAGAAAAGAAACAGGTGGATTTAGAAACTCAGTTCAAAAAGTAAACAAAAGGAAGGTGCTGAACAAGGCAAACAGCTGGCCAGGGCAGAAGGCAATTTTGTTGCTATTTTGTTGGAGGACTGGGGACACTCGTGCATAAGTGAATGGAAAATGGGAATTTTCCCATTTTCCCTGGGTGGCTCAGTTGGTTAAGTGTCCAACTCTTGCTTTCAGCTCAGGTCACAATCTCATGGCTTGCGGGATCAAGCCTGCTTGGGATTCTCTCTCTCTTGCTCTCTCTCAAAAATAAATAAATAAATGAAAGAAAGAGAGAGAGAGAAAGCAAGCAAGCAAAGTGGGAATTCTGCGCAGCAGGGCATAGCTTCCCAAAGTTATCACCCAGGGATGATGTCAAAGGGCAAAGTGATTCAACAGGTCTAGGGTGGAGGTCCAAACAGCGGTATGTTGATTTGTGGAGCCTGTTGATTTCCTTGGTATAAATACTCCCACCATGACAATTTCAAGCCACCACGATGAGGTCACTGAACACAGAGCTGGGAAGAGATACACATATTGGGCTTGGAGAGGCAGTACAAGCCGGCTCTAACACACCCAAGTGTCTACATTTCCAACGAACTGCTAGGTGATGCAGATGCTGCTGGCGAGCCCCGCGTCGGGCTCTGTGCTGACAACTAGCTCAGAGCCTGATGCCTGTTTCAGATTCTGTATCTCCTTCTCTCTCTGCTCCTCCACTGCTCACGCTGTCTCTCTCTCTCCCTCTCAGAAATAAATAAAACATTTTTAAAAACCTTTTAAGAAGGTTATATATTTAGAAAGAATGCAGGGAAGATTCAAAGTTTAAAACATCAGGAGAGTTCTGGAGGGTAAAAGTAAGGTTCTGACCCAAGACAACAGGTCCATTGACTAAGAAGTAGGATCAAAGGTATTTTGGGCTGTTAGACTCAAAACTGCTGTGTTCAATCCTGGCTGTATCATTTATTAGGTGGGTGATCTTGGGCAAATTATCTGACAAGTATAAGCCTTCTGATATGAAAATTTCATGGAGTTGACATTAAGTACTGAGATACTCGATGTTAAGTTCTTTTTTTCAAAAATTTTTTTCAGTGTTTATTTTCGAGACAGAGAGAGAGAGAGAGAGACAGAGTATGAGTGGGGGAGGGACAGAGAGAGAGGGAGACACTAAATGTGAAGCAGACTTGAGGCTCCAAGCTGTCAGCACAGAGCCTAATGCGGGGCTCGAACTCACAGACCACAAGACCATGACTTGAGTTGAAAGCTTATCCAACTGAGCCACCAGGTGCCCCTTGATGTTAAGTTCTGAGCACAGGGTCTGGCACATAGCACATGCTCAATTAGTGTTAGCTACTACTATTACTGGCATCATTATTTTCCTTAAGAAACATCTGCTTCACTTGGCTACTGTTTAAATTTCTTCAATGAAATGTAACACATGGGAAAATCTAGCCTGCTGAGCCACTACTTGTCAATGCTTTTTATAAATATTGTACTCATCCTGTGAACGGAAATTATAGCTGAAGAAGCATTAAAGTTGGGAAAGCCAGTCAACTGAGCACCTGACTTCAGCTCAGGGTATGATCACATGGTTGGTGAGTTCCAGCCCCATATGGAGCTCGCTGCTTTCAGTGCAGAGCCCGCTTCAGATCCTCTGTCCCCCCACCCCCCGGCTTCTCTCTCTCTCAAAAAAACAAAAAGAAAAAAACACAAAAGTTGGGAAAGCCAACCAAACACTCACTGACTGATGTTCCAAAATATCACAACTAATTACACATGGTAAATGCAAATAAAAACCCCATAAATCAAGAGGAAGCAGAAAGCACATTACATTTTCACAGAAACTGGCAGGTTTTCATAGGGCTCCAGTTAGCAACAAGAACACGTGATGAATTCTAGTACAGCCTCCAAGGATGACAGGTATATAAGAACCAACCTGACTTCAAGTTGTTTATTCCACGACAACAGTAAGTTTTGCTGCTGGTTTTTATCCAAGTTGAGAAGTGATTAAAACACAGAAACCTGTTGGGGGCACCTGGGTGGCTCAGTCAGTTAAGTGTCCGACTTTAGCTCAGGTCACGATCTCATGGTTCGTGGGTTTGAGCCCCGCATCAGCCTCTGCGGTGACAGCTTGGAGCCTGGAGCCTGCTTCAGATTCTGTGTCTCCCTCTCTCTCTGCCCCTCCCATGCTCACGCTTCTCTCTCTTAAAAATAAACATTTTTTAAAAATTTAAAAAAGAAAGAAAAAAATACAGAAACCTGCCTATAAGTAATCTCTATAGATACTCGAGTATCAGTCTGCAGTCTGGGGTATTCAGTAATATCACAAAGTATTCTCTTTCAGACTCCAGTACATACTGAGAACATATTTCAAGAGTCCTACATTTTTCTCACTAAAATTCTTGGGAGGCTATGAAGGGTTCTGTCTGTCCCATGCACAACTGATCAATAAGGGAAGGGAAGCATTCTAGGTTTTAAATAGCTTCTGAGTGTCAGGACAGGATAGCTGTTCCCAACTAGAACAATTAACAACCCTTTAAGGGAAATGCAGAATGCTTCAGAGAATCCAAAATAGAACCATTCTAACATGAAACACATCAAGAGGAGGAAGCTATTAAAACCTTTCCTCTGAGAGGTGAAAGGTACTTTCCCTGTATAGGATTCCTTCAATTTCAAGCAGTTCCCTTAGCAAAAACAAAAAGGGCAAACACTATCGAGCATTCCAAGCTTATCATCTGTCTGTATGGGGCGAATCACTGGGAAGAACACTGAATGTCATCACTCTGCAGATGGCCAGGCGTCAGGGCACTACCCCGGCCAGCCACAGCCAAGCGGAGTTCCAAGTTTTCCAAAAATAGCTATGACTTACATACAAGTGCTCATCAAACACCTCACCCACAAACTTGCAGAGTGCTGATCCTGGTCACTGCGGCAGAGATAAATGAAGATGCCGTTGATTAACAGGCACATGGTCCCCAACAAATTTAAGTATGACTTACTCTCCCTTAAAATAGCCTCTTCGCTAAAATCAACACAACCGTCTCAAAACGACGATGTTTCCCACCTGTTTTGAAGTCACTGTCCTAAAAACAAATAGAAACGATCTGTGAAACCAGAGAAAATCCTGACTCAGATTCCAATGGGCATTTGTGAACACCTAACAATAGCATCCCCATTAGAAATAAGCACATGAAATACCATCCACATTACTTTCATTTCGGAGCCCAGGACCCGGAGGGAACTCTTACTACCGTAGTTTAAAAGAGAAAAGTGTTCACTTCTACACGCCTGGTCTCCTGTGCACAGGAACTGAATAAAGAGCCATAAAAGGCCTCCCACGTGGAGGTATCTGACAGCTTTGTATCATAAATGTTTATGAAATTCCTCATTTCCGAACTCGTATTTGCATACTTGGCACGCGTTTCCCATTCTGTCTCGAAAAAGCCCAGTAGTTGAGGGGTGAGGAGGTAGTGCGGTTATAACATTCCAGAGTAACCTTAGAAGACATTCTCAAATTGCCTACTTCCCAAGTTTCTTCTCACGGGCAGTATCAGCCTTTTGACTTTCCCCAAACCAGTGTTCCACTCTCCCCAACTTAGCCCAGAAATCCCTGTGTTGATTTCAGTCTTCTTCGATAACAGGAATAGGAAGGCATTTATGAGCATACCTTGTATTCTTCGCGCTGTTCCTCCTCCCTCATTAAAAATCTAAAGATGAATGCACTTTAGATTTTATAAACTGAGATTTTATAAACTGAGGTTACTCTCAGTTTATTAAAAAAAAAAAAAAAAGGCGAGGGTGGCGGGGGTGAGGGAAGGGAGGGAGGGAGTGGTAACCAGGACCCCTGGTCTTTTACAAGGTGTTCATAAATCCCTCCTTTAAGACAGATCAGCTCGGTCTGCTTGAGACACTTCAAAACAGTACTGCCATGAAAGGGACTCAAAAACGAAAACAAACAGCAAACCCCACCTAAGCTGCCACCTTCGGAAGTTTCTCCCCCAGGTCAGGGCCCAAGAGCGCTCCTCCCCAAAATCCCTGGTGCACACAACCCCACGTCCTGCCCTTTATGCCCACTCCCCTCCCAGCTTGGGCTCGCCCCGAACTCGAAGGGCGTCCCCGAGCCCTGCGACCCGAGCCCTGCAAAGACTGCAGCCCCTTCCCCGGCCCGGCCAGCCCCAGCGCCCCTCCGGAGCCCCCTCCCGCCCCGCGCCCGCAGCCCCGCAGCCCCGCAGGCCCGCCCGGGCCCGCGCCCCGCAGCCCCCTCCCCTCCCGGGACCCCGAGCCGCCCCCGGCCCCCGCTCGCCGCCGCGGGGCCCACCGAGCCGCGCCGGTCCGCCGCGCCGGCCGCGTCGTCCTGCTGCAGCTCCGCAGTCATGGCCGAGGCGCCCCTCCGCGGGTCATCCGGCTCCCGCCGCCGCCGCCAGCCCAGCCTCGCCGGAGGAGGCGGAGGAGGAGGAGGTGGCCATGCCCCGCCCCGCCCCGCCCCGCCCTCCACCCCGCCCCGCCCTCCACCCCGCTCGGGCCCCGCCTCCGCCCCGGAGCGCGCGGGAGGCTCGTCCCACACGCCCCGCCCCCAGGCCTGCGCGCGCGCGCACGGCGCGCGGCCCGGGGCCGAGCCGCTCTGCGTGCTCCCGCGCACGCCGCTCTCTGACCTGGTGCGGGTCACGTGACCCCGGCCCCGCCTGCGACTAACGGTCAGGCGGCGCCGTCCCGGGCGCTTGCGTTCCCGGGCTGCTGGCGCCCGAGGAATGGTTTCGGGGAGCGCGGACGCGGCCCGGAGGACTCGATGCCCGCCCAGGCCTGCTCGCGGAAGAGTTCAAGGTGCTCTCCGCCTCGGGAGGCCGTGTGGGGCTCGCGCTCTGGACGGTTTCCCACCTGGCAGTGCAGCCGCTGGGAAGTCCGGGCGCCGGAGGGGTCACCGGTCGTCTGCAAGGGGAGGCGGAGGCTGAGCGCCCCGGTCTGGCCCGGGCGACCCAGACGTTCCAGACGCCCTCATCCCGGCTGCCCAGCGCCGCGCCCGCACACCCCCGGGCGTGGGGGGCGACATGGCCGCGCTGTCGCCCTGGCGGTTTTTCTGGAGTTCAGACCGCAATCCTGCCCTATTTGGTTAAGCTCGAGCTAGTTGCTCCTGACGGCGTCTTAAGAACAAAAGTGTCCCCCTCCCCCTCCCCGAAATTGCATTTTCAGCAGTTTGGTGGGGATCTTAACTACTAACCATGTTTCACATGTATTCACGTGTTTTCACGACCATCCAGTTGGCACGCTTTGGGCTGTCCCAAATCTGTGTGGAGGAGCCTGTTTTTAGGGGTACGGTTAGGCCATTTTCCTGGTCTGGGCCTCTGGCGGCATCTTGGGTGTGAACCTGGTGTGGATGGTGGCCTTTCCGGAGCTCCTGGCGTTGTCCATGTGATTGTGATGTTTCACCTGCAGGCCTTTCTAGTCTGCAGGCGGCCCAGCTTGTGGCAGGAGGGAACAGGTGCAGAACAGGAGCGGCTCCCGGAGACCTGGCGACCCCCGGGGGCCGGCCGGGCCCGCTGCTGCCTTCCACCCGGAGACACAGAGGCTCCCCCTTCCTTGGCAGGTAAACTGGCAGAGTGATCAGTGTCTTCCACGTGTGACAGGCCGACTGTGTGTGTGTGTGCGTGCGTGTGTGTCTGGTGGTTTCAGGACTTTTTATGGTTATGACTTTGTCTCCCCCCCTCCCCCTCCATGAGTTCAAAACCTGTGTTCTCACGGCCTCAACCCAGGAGTCCGTGCAAAACAAGTTGATTTCTCAGTGTGGTTTATTTACAGCACCGCATACTTCTGAATTACCAGAAGGCTCTCTTTCTGTGCGTCTTTACCATGTCTCCGCAACAACTCTTGTTTGATCTTTACACATTCATTTTAGGAAGTTGCTTGTTTAATGAGAGTAAACGGGGTGGAAAACCTGTAACTTACTCATGAACATTTCCTTGAAAAACTACCAGGCACCTCCTCTCCTCCTATTTCTGGAAAAAAAAAAAAAAAAGTGGATCTAGGCCATTTGGTAAATAATAGGCCCCTGAGTTTCGATTGAGCCTCTTTCTGCTGTGTGGATCTAAACAGATCTCCAGATCTAATAAATTCGATAAAATCCCTTTGAGGGCTCTGAATCTGATAAATCCTCTTCGCCTCCTTGGGTTTAACTACCACCTGGTGTTGGACACGGTAGTTGGCTAGAGACACCCTGACCAAACAGAGTATTTCATGAAGCGTTTGCGTCAGTGCTTGGCCATCAGTTGGCAAGTTTCACGGTGATCAAGTATCAAAAATGGACATCATGGAACATGTACTGTCACCACAGAAAATCCCTTCTTATTCCTCCTTGAAACCCACACATGAAGGCTCCCGAATAATTCCATTATTCATTGATAATCATTTCAAGAGTGTTCAGGGAAAAAAAATAAGGAGCAGTAGCAAGTAATTGACATATTTAGAAGGGGAATAATGGCTTTCAGAAGATTTTCCTGAAGACATTGAGTTTTTTTTCTTGCCCTGAAAACTTCTTGCCCCCACGCATAGTTACTTGTTCTGTGTCAGTGGATTTATATTTCTGCTGGCGACTCACCTCAAACCCAAACTATAGTTTGTATTGTAATAAAATGATCCCACTTCAGTGTTGCTGAATACTCGTGTGGCGCTTAGGTTGGATAAATGAGAATGAAGGGAACGTGTTAGGAAAAGGAAAAAGGGGAAAGAAGGAAGAGCATACTTCTATTTCTTCTCTGCTTCACTCTGTAAATAGTCTTGGCCACTGGCTCCAGAGCAGCTGGAACTGAGAGCTGAAGGCTCAGGCTGAGTGACAGGTGTGACTGTTCTGTGAGCGATGGATTCCTTTCCAGGAACAGTCAGAAGTGTCCTTACAGGCCGGCTTCCTAGCAGTTAGGAAAATGGCCTTTCCCACTGTTTTGGGAAGAGTGTGGATATTTCTGTTGTGACCCCTAGATGAAATAATGAGATGAAGTACAAGGGGTTCTGAAAGTGTCTCAGACAAGGCTCTCCTTGGCTACTTGAGAAAGGAGTTTCTGGCCTTCCCGAAATGTGTACTGTAGGCAAATGTAGTTTGTGGGGAGTTGCCCTTTCAGGAAAGTGAATGAGTTCAGTTCCATTTTCAAGGTATGTGGCCTTGGTATTCAAAATAACAACCTCGCGTTTCCTTCTTTTTCTCAGAAAACAAACACTAAAAAACAAAAACAAAAACCTCTAAAACAAACCTCTTAAAATCTGTCTTCTTCAGAAGTCATGAAAACCTTTAACTCGCGGGATTCAATTTTCCTCTTATAAGAAGGTGAAAATAACTTTAGCCTCCAGATTGAGGGATGATAATAAAATAAAGAACTCGAAATAAGTCCACTTCTCAATCTTGATTTTTCACAAACCAGCATTGTAGACCAGGGGGCGTCAGATGGACGCCATTTTAATAAATGGTCCTCAGACAACTAGTTCTCCATATAAAAAATTAATTTTGTTTTTTTATTTTTTATTAATGTTTTATTTATTTTTGAGAGAGAGAGACACAGCGTGAGCAGGGGAGGGTCAGAGAGAGAGGGAGACACAGAATCTGAAACAGGCTCCAGGCTCTGAGCTAGCTGTCAGCACAGAGCCCAACGTGGGGCTTGAACCCACAAACCGTGAGATCATGACCTGAGCCGAAGTCGGACACTTAGCCGACTGAGCCACCCAGACACCCCAATAAAAAATTAATTTTGGACTCTTTCTTTACATCATAAATAGAAGCTAGTTTTCGGTAGATTCAAGACTGAAATGTAAAAAACAAAATTAAAATTTTAAACACTCAATTGGAGAATATACTTTGAGGATAGGGGACCTTAAATCAGATACAAAAATACAATCCATAATATAACACTTGGTAACTTGTTAAAATTAAGAATTTCTCTTCATCAAAAGTTCCCATAAAATATCCACAAACTGGGAGAAAATAACTAACACATATAACCAATAACATGTTGGTATGCAGAACAAAATTTCCAAGCCTTGACACTTAATATGTTGAGGGCAGAAACTTCTCTGCTTTGAGGGCTGTCTAATGCACTGTAGGATGTGTTAGCAGCATCTCTGGCATCTCCCTACTAGATGCCAGTAGCTCGCCACTACCCACCTATGACCATCCAAAATGTCTCCAGAGATTACAAAATGTTCCCAAAGGAGCAAATTCTCCAGTTGAGAACCACTGATCCAAACCAGGTGGAAAAGCTGTACGAAAGAGACCGTGTAAAAGAAGGAAAGACCAAAGGCTTATCCAGATGCTGAACAGGAAAGGAAATCAAGAGTCTGAAAAAGATGCTAAACTCACTGATAATGAGGAACACAGAAAGTAAGACCACAAAGATGCTGTGTCATGCATTCGATTGGCAAAAACTTTTAAATACCACAATTGCGAGTGTCGGCAAGAATGTGGAGCCACCGGAGAACACTTGCACACTCACTGGTAGTGTAAATTAGCACAACCACTTTGGAAAACAGTTGGCATCTAGTACTAAAACTTGAAGATGTGCGAGCTTCACAGCAAGCACTTCCTGAGAAAGTATCCTAGAACAATTCTTGAACGTTGTTAGTTAGGATGTACGTGTAAAATGTTCATAACACATTTAATGGCAGATGAAGCGGGGATCAACCTAAATATATCAATGGTAAAATTGGTCAATTTTTGTGTGTGTGGGTAGTCATTCAATAGAACTTTATAGAGTGGTTAAAATGAGTGAATTACAGCTATGTGATATCATGGATGAATCTTAGGAAAATAATGCTGTAGGATATCAAGCAAATCACAGGAGATGGCACATAATATTCCATTTGTATAAATTACAAAAACTATCAATGTCTAGGGAGATCAACATATGGTTGAACTACAAATAAAAGCCTGAATATTATTTTAAACACAAAATTTGAACTGGAAGCTCTGAGCGAAGGGATAGAGATGGGCCATATGGGGGAACTTACAGATAGTGCTAATGTTCTGTTTTCATAAATCAAGTGGTAGTTACATGAGGGGTCATTATATCATTTTGCATACATTTTATTAACTAGTAATACAAAAGTTTAAAAGAACATCATTCTACACTTAAGATCAAAAGCAGATCAATCCTCACTCTAATGACATTTCTGTGCCCTCAAGAAATACTAATAAAGGTCTCTATAGTTTACAGGTTACTCTTTTGAGTGCTGGCTGATGCATGAGGCAGAGATCTAACATTCTCTGAAATTATAATTTGGACTACCTTCAAGATAAAAATATTACCATTCCATTTTATGCAGAGTGTGTCCCAAATCCACATTTTAGATGATGTCCAATGAGTTAGAAAGTCTATTTTATAAAAACATTTTCGCCTTTAGCTTCAAGATTTGGGGAAAGACTTCTGTGTCAAAGTTGGGGCCTCCGACAGAAACAGAAAATATCATGTAAGGTAAAAGCCAGAAAGCTACCCAGGAAAAGTAAGTGGAAACTTGTATAATGCAGCAAGTACTGGGAGCATAAATGGGAACTTAAGGTGACTTCTCTTTTCACCCAGGGTACTGTTGAAGCAAAAAATCTTCCTCCTCAAAATATCAGAATTTGAAGAAATAGATGAGGCCAGAGTAACATACAAACTTGCCTTTGGAAATGCAAATATTTTTACCGTTCTGGTAACTTGACCTTGGAAGAAAAAAGAACATTTTTAGAGGAAGTAGTAACTTTACCGAGCACTTAAATAGGCTAGGTGGTGTTCCGAGTGCTTTGCATGTATGAACTAATCCTCATGAGACCCTATGAAGTAAGTGCTGTTATTATTAATACCTCCTTTACAAATGAGGAAACCACCACAGAAAGGTTAAGTACTTTACCCAAGACTTTTCTACTAATAAAGACAGAGCCCTGATTCTAAGCTAAGCAGTCTTGCTCTCTTTCTACAGGCTGAGGTTAAAAAAAAAAAAATCAGATTCTGGCTTAAAGAACCCCAAGAAAGATGAATAATGAGAAGAAACAGCCTTTAAAGATATCTCAAGGATGTGTCACTTGAACTGAGTTGGCAAAGACAGAGAAAGCAGAGAGTAAGACAATGAGAGCTTGGCGCACCATTAAAGGCTAGCTACCGATGGAGTTTGCCACAGGTCCCAGTTTGCCTGGGGCAATTATGGTTTACCCCTGTTTTCCTGCTAGGATTTTTAGTAGCTTTTCTTTTTCTCAAACTTCTAGGATTGGATGTTGAATTATATGGCCATCCTACGTATGGAGCAGTTTATCTTGAAAGTAAGCAATTCCTAGAGAATCTCACCATAGTATGACCCGAAGCCTTTCAGATATAACTAAAACACAAATCTCTAGCCCAGTCTGATTAAGTATACATCATTAATAGGAACTGGCCCATCTGTTTTTTTTTTTTTAATTTTTTAATGTTTTATTTATTTCTAGGAGAGAGAGAGAGAGACAGTGTGAGCAGGGGAGGGTCAGAGAGAGAGGGAGTCACAGAATCTGAAGCAGGCTCCAGGCTCTGAGCTATCAGCACGGAGCTTAATGTGGGGCTCCAACTCACAAACTGAGATCATGGTCTGAGCAGACATTGAACACCCAGGCGCCCCACTGGCTCATCTGTTTCTAAAGAACATAGCCAGAGGGAATAGAGGGCACCCCTCCAAGTACCTGGAGTCTCTTGCCCTTAAGGGACTGGGTAGCTTTTTCAGTTTTGGAAGCCAACCTCTGTGGCATTTAAGGCCTAGAGGCGCCTGAGAGCCATCCCGGAAGAGATGGGAGACAATGTGGAGTTAAAAGGAGGGAAAATATTTGATGGTCTCTGCCAGAAGGGGGCAGAAGTTGAATGGATTTTTTTAATTTTGTTCCCATTAGAAAAGAGAGTTTCGGATTTTAGACCTGGGATGTTGAAGGGAACAACTTTAAAATTTGGAAACAATGGTTTGTTGGGGTATTTATTTCTTCTTCGGCTCCTCCAGAGTTCCTACCGAGAAAGTGAAAGCCAAAGGAAGACAGTGTGTTGAATAGACTGGACTCGTGAGCCATTTTTGTGAGGAGCCGCTACTCCACAGAGGGGATGTCAGTTGTGTTAAGGAGTTCGGGTAAGTTCTGCATTCTTCGGGCCGGCGATGCAAGGAGCTGGTCTGTGCAAATCAAGATTCTCTAGTACCAAGGAGTAAAAAGATTTAGCAAAGTTACTTAGCTCGAAATTGCTAGTCCTGTTATTTGAAGTAGAAGATTCTCAGCTTTGGCTCTCAACTTTTTGAAAAGAGGAGCAGCGATCCCCACAATTATTGTCATATGTTAAAGCTCATTATCTCACTGGCGAGACAAAGAGAATGGGATGCGAGCCCGACCAACACTCAGCCTTGATCATGGTGAGCAGGTCCATGATCTGGTTGTAAGCTCACTGGGAGAACGTGACAAAGATACGTTCAGCCTTATGAAGTGACGCTTAACCAGGTTTTGATTTTTACAAAAAACAAAATCTGCGTTGCTCAAACTGAATAGTGTAGAGAGTCCCTTTTCTGTCACTTTGCAGAGATTACCAAGGAAGCCTACCTGTTCAGAGCCGATTCTAGAGGTTTCTGGTGGGGGAGGAGGCTTCTTGAAACAGATGCTTAACAAAAGTGATGTTTTTATTTCTTTTCTTGGCTAGGAATTCATTCTTAGTATTTAACCATACTAGAAAGGCCATGCGTGATATATCTTTTGGCTTTCCCACCCACTGACACACATTATTTGGGAATCTCTGTGTTGTCTATCTGTAAAACTATGAAGCATTCATTGTTGTAAGCGCTTATCTTTTCTTAAAAAAAATTTGTTTAAATTCAAGTCAGTGTCATATTGGTTTCAGGAGTAGAGCCCAGTGATGAATCACTCCCATAAAACACCCAGGGCTCATCCCAACAAGTGCCCTCCTTAATGCCCATCACCCATTTAGCCCATCCTCCACCCCCATCGTCCACCCACCTCCCCTCCAGCAACCCTCAGTTTATAATCTATATTTAAGAGTCTCTTATGGTTTGCCTCCCTCTCTGTTTTTATCTTATTTTTCCTTCCTTTCCCCTGTGTTCATCTCTTTTGTTTCTTAAATTCCACATATGATTGAAATCATATGGTATTTGTCTTTCTCTGACTGGCTTAATTCGCATAGCATAATAATACTCTAGTTCCATCCACATTGTTGCAAATGGCAAGATTTTATTCTTTTTGACCCCTGAGTAATATTCCTTTGTATATAAGATAAAAAGCTTCTGTACAGCTAAGGAAACAATCAGCAAAACTAAAAGGCACTAGACAGAATGGGCGAAGATATTTGCAAAGAATATATTGGATAAAGGATTGGTATCCAAAATCTATAAAGAACATATCAAACTCAATACCCATAATCTGGTGAAGAAATGGGCAAAAGACATGAACAGACACTTTTCCAAGGAAAACATCCAGAAGGCTAATAGGCGCATGAAAAGATGCTCAGCATCACTCATCATCAGGGAAATACAAATCAAAACCACGGTGAGATACCACCTCACACCTGTCAGAATGGCTAAAATGAACAACTCAGGAAACAACAGATGCTGGTGAGGATGTGGAGAAATGGGAACCCTCTTGCACTGTTGGTGGGAATTCAAACTGATGCAGCCACTCTGGAAAACAGTATGGAGGTTCCTCAAAGAATTAAAAGTAGAACTACCCTACGACCCAGCAATTGCACTACTAGGTATTTATCCAAGGGATACAAAAATGCTGATTCAAAGGGGCACATGTACCCCAATATTTATAGCAACACTATCAACAGTAGCCAAATCATGGAAGGAGCCCAAATGTTCATTGAATGATGAGTAAATAAAGAATATGTGGTGTGTATGTGTATAATGTAAGCCCTTATCTTGATCTTAAACTGTTACCGGAACTCATTTTCCCTCTTATAAACGACAGACTGAAAATACTTTTATTTTTCTTACAGAAGTTATATGATTCATTGTTACTTGTAGTTCTTATTTATTTTTCTTTCAGATTTGAAAAGTTAATAATTAATCATTGCTATTTTGATGATTATGTTCAGTCTATAGCAAGTTATATTTATTTTCTTTTTATGTTGCTGATGTAGTATTGCTTTTTTTTTAATTTGTTTATTTTAAGAGAGAGAAAGTGAGCACACACATGTGCACAAGGAAGGAGCAGAGAGAGAGGAGAGAGAGAATCCCAAGCAGCCTCCACACCATCAGTGTGGAGCCCAATGTGGGGCTCGAACTCATGAACCGTGATATCATGAGCTGAGCTGAAATCAAGAGTTGGATGCCCAACCGACTGAGCCACTCAGGTGCCCTCATTGTGTTGCTTTTTAAAATAAATTAAACAAGGAACACCTGGGTGGCTCAGTTGGTTGAGCGTCTGACTTCAGCTCAGGTCACGATCTCACAGTTGGTGAGTTCGAGCCCCACGTCGGGCTCTGTGCTGCCAGCTCAGAGCCTGGAGCCTGCTTCAGATTCTGTGTCTCCCTCTCTCTGTGAGCCTCCCCAACTTGTGCACTGTCTCTCCCTCTCTTTCTCAAACATAAATAAACATTTAAAAAAAATTTTTTTTAATTTTTATAAAATAAAATAATCAATCAAGACTGTTACTTTTGGGATAGAGGTTTGGGACCCTAACAACCTTACTGTCTGACAGATAAGAGGTATAAAGTCTGGAGAAAATAAAAACTACCTGAAGGGTCTGGAGCTTGAATAGAGGTTTCAAAAGGGAGTCATAACGTGGAAGCAAGGTCTGATGAGGGCCGTGTGCCCCAGTTTTGCCGCTTTGCTCAGACAGCAGGCCAGAGTCACGTCATGACACGTGGTGCTTGAAGTGCCGGTAGAAAACAACCAGGCTTCTGGCCTGCGGAACCATACACTAGAGTTTAGGATGGATACGGCCACCCAAAAGTGAGGGAGGGAGTCGTGAGAAGGAGAGAGGTGGAGAAAGGGATCCCCAAGCTTTTGTGCAACTCTACCTGAGTCTCTGGGGGACCCTTCCACCATAGGCACAAAGCATGTCAAAGAGGACAAAAGAAATCAGAAGAGCTTTGAGCTGTTGCCTGCGTCCAAAAGAGATAGTTTGCAGTTTGAGTCTCACCAAAGTAATTCACTACTAAAACGCAAAAACATCGACATTCATTGGAGGAAGAGTTAACACACATACACGCAGGCACGCGCACACACACCCTCTCCACCCTTTAGACATAAAGAGAATTGAGAGTCTCAGTAAAACATGATATGTAAGGGGCACCTGGGTGGCTCAGCCAGTTGAGCGTCCGACTTCAGCTCAGGTCATGATTTCACGGTTCATGGGTTCAAGCCCCATGTCGGGCTCTGTGCTGACAGCCAGCTCAGAGCCTGGAGCCTGCTTCACATTCTGTGTCTCCCTCTCTCTGCCCCTCCCTCCTCTCAAAAATAAGCAAACATTAAAAACAAACATAGTATGTAGGAATACAACCTAAAATTACTTGATATATAAAGAACCAGGAAAATATGACCTATTGACAAGGAAAAAGACAAAGACACCACGTGAAAATGTTAGAATCAGTCAGACAGGAACATTAAAGTATCTGTGATAATTAAGCTCTGTGAAGTAAAGGAAACCATACTTGTAATAAGTAAAATAGAAAAACCTCAACAGATAATTAGAAAATATAAGGAAGAACAAAATGAAAAAAAATTTGAACTTAAACATTCCGTATTTGAAATGAAAAAGTCATTGGCTCTATAGTAGGGTACATATTGTGTCAAGGAAACACTCTCACACTGTCTTGTGAGGTATATGTATTTAGATGTAACGCATGACACACCACAGCACAGTGACAGCAGGGCCAGTAAATGGAACCAAATGATGGCATGATAACTACATTTGATGGGAAAGTGTAGTAGTTACTCGAAAGGTAGACTGTGCGAAGAATGTTTACTTTAATTTCTAGTAGGACCACTAAGAAAATTGTGCAGAGAGTATAGCCAAAAACTAATAGGTAATCTTTATTAAAAATTAAAAGATCCAGGGGTGTTTGGGTGGCTCAGTCAGTTAAGCGTCCAACTTTGGCTCAGGTCATGATCTCACAGTTGGTGAGTTTGAGCCCCATGTCAGACTCTGTGCTGACAGCTCGGAGCCTGGAGCGTGCTTTGGATTCTGTGTCTCCCTCTCTCTGCCTTCCCTCCCTTGCTCATGCTCTGTTTCTTTCTCTCTCTCTCAAAGATAAATAAACATTAAAAAAAATTTTTAATCAAAAAATCAGAAAGTAGGTGGAAAAGGAGGAATTTTTTTAAAAAGATTTTTTTAAAGGAGAATATAGAACAGAAATAATAAAATGAATGGGTAACTTAAATCCAAACATATCAAAAACTACTTTAAATATTAGTGGATCAAATATTCCAACTCAAAGGCAGAAATTAACAAAACGAAATGAAAAAGAAGACCCAAGTATGCTAGATGCAAGAGAAATGCTTTAAATATAAAGACACATATAGGCTGAAAGCAAATAGGTGGAAAGAGAAGACATACCATATGCCACGGACTGAATGTTTCTGTCCCTGCCCCCCAAATTCATATACTGAAATCTTAACCCCTAATTAGGAGGTGAGGCTTTCTGGGGGGTGATTAGGTCATGAGGGTGGAGCCCTCATGTGGAATTAGTGCCCTTATTATAAATTATAGCCCCAGAGATCTCTCTAGGCCCCTTTCCATTACATGAGGGTACAAGAAGCCAGCAGCCTATAACCCCAAAGAGGTCCCTCACCAGAACTTGACCATGCTTACACCCTGACCTTAGACTTCCAGCCCCCAGAATCGTGAGACGTTAAGTTCCTCTTGTTTTTAAGACCCCCAGTCTGTGGCATTCTGCTATACCATGTAAATAAGTTTAAGAAGGCTGGACTGGTTATTAATATCAGACAAAACAGACCTGTGACGAAGAGTATTATCAGAAACAAACAGGACCATTTTATAATGGAAACATGGATTCATCAAGAAGACATAATAATCGTAAATGTGGATACACGTGTGTGTGCCTAATAACAGAGCTTCCGAACGCTGTGAAGCAAAAATTGAAAGGATAAAAAGAAGA